ATATGGAAAAGTTCAAGGGGTATGAATACTTTTGCAAACCACTGTATGTAAGTGTAATAAATCAATAAACTTTCATTTTTAAAAGAATGTTTAACAAAGTGGACTCTCAGTCTCTAACAAAAAATGCACTTGAATAAAAAATAAATAAAACAAAGAACAACAAAATGTAAATTAAACACCACACACAACTAAGACAGTAAATAAACTAAAGAGCAGCATCTCTTTAGAGATAACGCAAACTACACAGCCTGGTGAGGACCCACTGTTTCTTATGGGGACATAAGCCCAGTTCACATCCCATGGGGGAGAGAGAGAGCAGCAGTCAGCTCTCCCCACCCGAGGCTGAAGGTCAACAGACGATCATACTAAGCTTGCTAACTGTTCCACCCTCTGACTGCTGCAGGGGCGTGTCTTAGAGAGAGGCTTTTATACCAGAACACAGCTGCTGTGACGAAACTGTGGAGAATTGAGTTAGTGGTTATCAGTTAGCATTAGCTTTCAGCACTTTTGAAGCTAATGCTTTAGTTAGCGGATTAGCAAAGCCACTGGTAACAAACAACCCCTAAGAGTGAGATTTATTGCAGCTAAAGGAGATTAATTTGGTTTTTCTCACAGATTTTCCATTTTAGCTTTGTTTTTGTTTAATAAATAACACAATTTAATCTGTTGGGGGTATTTTATTTTGTACACTTGATGTTACAGTAGATTTCATTTTAGAAATCTGATAAAGACTAGATTATTTGTATGCCCCTTCAAAGCTCTTTAAGTGGTCACAGTGGGTGAAACATGAAGAATGAATCCACAAGACCAAGAACTGAATCTCTTTAGTAAGGTTTTTTAAGTCTGGGGATGTAGAGAGGACAGGCGCCATCCTCCTCATTTGTGTACTTGGAGGTTATTTGGGGGAATAACCCAAAGTGTTTTATTGCTAATGCCTCAGGACCCCCCTTAATGGGTCGGTACTGTACTCAGACCCACTGGAGGCCTCGGGAGGGGAGGGGATGTTGTCAGGGACCCTCTTTCGGCTGATTTAGCTGCTCTTCCTTTTCACCTCCTGTTGAGTATTGTGCAGCCGTTAAACCTCCAAGACAAATGTGTGTTTACGCTTTACATGAGCGAGTTGTAAGAAGGGCGAGGAGGGCTGAAAACCGAGCAGGTTCTTTGTGTCTCTCTTCGCGATCGTGTGGAAACGCAGCCAAGAGGACGTCGGTCGGATAAATCTAGTTTCCAGCAGCAACGGCCTCGGACCGATCGTCTACCTTCATCTCCCATTCCTCACATTCTTCGTCACCTTTCCTCTGTCTCCTTCATCCCAAACAACTTCAAAAATAAATAAAAAAACTCTCAGAGCCCCACGGATTCCTCGCGGGGTCGTCCCTCCCCGGCAACAATGGGGCACTTGTTGGCTCGAGGCCTGGACGCAGTTGAAAGGAAAGAGAGTTATAGTGAGAGGAGAGGTGGACAAAAAGGGCAAGAATGTGAGAAACTGAAGGATCAGAGCGAAGCAGAGGAGGACTGACTGAGATGTTTGAGTCATTTGATTAAAAAAATCGTTACAAGTTCAGTGAACCTGTCAGTCGTCTCTGGTTTTGTGGTTCTTCCTCTCACTCAGTTTAATTTTAAGCTGCCCTCAGCGTGGCATCAGAGATGGACTGTTATTGTTTATGGTTTCCTTCTTATTCAACACGTGATTACAGTTAGCATGATACACAACACGCACTGTGCAGTATTAAAAAGAAATACTGCTCATTTTTAAAGCGTTGTTTTTTGTTCAGCAGATTAGCTTTTTCGCCAGCTTTGATTAGCTTCCACTAAATTAGTTTTTGACAACTTTGTCTGCTAACAGTTAACTAACAAACTAACATCAACAGGTTTGTGTCCAGTTTTCAGCTTGAAGGAGTCGAAAGCATGTGTCTCAATTTGAGACCGTTGTCTTTGCCGTTAGCAATTAGCGGTTAGTGTTAGCTTCCACTAATGTTTAATGGGGACCTTCACTCAGGCTATTTTTAGATCACTTGTCACGTGATTATGTCTGCTTGACACTCGCGCCTCACATGGCTGCCCGCTGCTCCACTTGGGTGTGGATGGGTTAAATGCAGAGCACAATTTCGTCACTGTGTGGAAACATACACTGATGACAAATAAAGCACCTTTACCTTTACACTGATGCTCGTACAGAAAAACAGCATCAAACTCAAACAGCGATGGGACAATTTGAATTTGACTGGAAAGAAGTAACCCATTTCGGCCGCTGCGGCAGTGTGTCTGGGCTCTCCCTTAGAGATAGGGTGAGGAGCTTGGTCATCCGGGAGGGACTCAGAATAGAGCCGCTGCTCCTCCACGTCGAGAGGAGCCAGTTGAGGTGGCTCATCTGGTAAGGATGCCTCCTGGACGCCTCCTTGGTGAGGTGTTCCGGGCACGTCCCACCGGGAGGAGGCCCCGAGGAAGACCCAGGACACGCTGGAGGGACTATGTCTCTCGGCTGGCCTGGGAACGCCTTGGAGTTCCCCCGGAGRAGCTGGAAAAAGTGGCTGGGGAGAGGGAGGTCTGGGCCTCCCTTCTGAAGCTGCTGCCCCCGTGACCCGACTCCGGATAGACGGAAGAAAATGGATGGATGGATGGATGGATGGATGGATGGATGGATGGATGGATGGATGGATGGATGGATGGATGGATGGATGGATGGATGGATGGATGGATGGATGGAATGAAGTACAACCAAGGACTTAACATCTGCTCCAAACATTTCATCTGAAGTAAAAGACCAACACTGGACCACCTGGATCCCTGACTTTATGTCGATGAGCAGATACATTAAACCTTATTGTTTTTACTGTAGCCTACTGCTAGCTTTACTCCTAGCATTCATGCTAGCCTCATACAGAGATCTACTGCAGTCAGTCACACATACTGCATGGTGATAATATTATCCGTCCATACATCCAATTATTTATACCAACTTATTCCTTTCAGGGTCACAGGGGTCACTGGTGCCCATATCCAGCAGCCACAGTGCGAGGAGCAGGATACACAAATTTTAAACATCATTAAGTTTCTTTAAACAAAGCAGAAGTGGTGGCTTGAGTAAATATACACACACAATAGATGCAACAAGCTAAGCTATAATAACCGGTAAAAACACCAACTTTTTTACAATTCCTCTTGATTTCCAAAGCTATTGGAGACCTCAACCCTCCAGCCAACCTTTCAGGTGAACCTCCCAGTGATTCCTGAACTCGGATGTGTCCAAATTTGCTCTAGGAACATCTTTTTCTGTTACTGTGTTAAACAGAGTCTAGACCGATCTTTGAGCGCGAGCGGCACATAATGAAGGCAAATGATATGTGTGACGTCACGAGGGAAGGACCCTTTGCTCAACACTGGTTCGCATGACATACAATCAGTCCTACTGTATACTATTAAACTAGAAATACTTGTAAATTTGAAGTGGTGATTGGTCAAATAATTGTGAATAATTAGTTCCTTTTCAACCTAACGGTCATGGAGCATTAAGTTGGGTGAAAAGAGCAGAGATATTCTTCCAGGCTAAGCTAATGATGAGGCTAAAGGCTAGGCTAATGGTTGGCGCCCATTTCTTTTTAATAACTTCTCACAACCCTTTTAAAACAACATATTGGTGTTGTAATTGTTACTTTTTACTCAACACCATTTTTTATGCTGCTGAACAAACATTTGTGTTATTATGCTAATGTTGTTATGGTTTGTGGTATTAAATGTGGAAAGGCTAATTTAGCTATGAGCTATTAGCCTAGCCTGGATAAACACTGTTTTCCTCTCTTCTCCATGACTGATGTCACATCACTTCCAGACTATTTATTTGATTTCAAATTACTTATACTTGGTTTATAGTTGTTTTTATTCTCTAGGCTAATATTAAATCAGACACAGTTTATTTTGTACAAAAGTTTAAAATAATTCAGCTTCATTTGATAAAGTTGTTTTCTCCCTCTGGAAACAGGAGGAATGTTTTTTTTTTTCTCCCATCACAGCAGCAGAACAACACACCCACTTCACACCATCACTCCAACCCCCACGGGGGGACCAGTTCTCTGGACCCTGAAGGTTCTGCAGCAGTCTGTTTACTTTATAGAGCAGCAGAACCTCTGATTATCACTTAAAGGAGGCTTTTTAAAATTTTTTTTTATTTAATTTTGTTTTGTTTTGCTTTGTTTATTAAAGAATACTTCCTCTGAGAACATGGCCAACTCTGGCATCCAGCTGCTGGGCTTCTTCTTGTCTCTGACCGGTATCGTGGGTCTGATCATCGGAACCATCCTGCCTCAGTGGAAGATGTCTGCCTACATCGGGGACAACATCATCACCGCCGTGGCCATGTACCAGGGGCTGTGGATGTCCTGCGCCTTCCAGAGCACCGGGCAGCTGCAGTGTAAGATCTACGACTCCATCCTGCAGCTGGACAGTAAGTCATGGAAATATTTATAGTTTTTATGTTTTCAAGCTGAATTACAAAAACGTTAATGAGCCGTGAATAAACTCAAACTTTTTAAATTAAACTAACTTTCCTTGAAGGAATCACCTTTTTACTTTTAAGAGTTTCAATAAAATCCATCCAATGGTTCAGGAGATATTCTGCTAACAGACAGGGTTTTCGTATAAAGTTTTTATAAACTGTTTGTAATAAATCATTATTAAATCCTCTATGAAAAGGCCTTTATTGTGAAAAGGTACCACCAATCTGTCACACATTACATGTTTAACAGATAGCTCAGGTCATTTAAAGTGGGGTCCTGTGGAGAGGATATGAACAATAAACAGTAAGCTTCTTACCTGTTGAAGATAGATCTTAGGACGATTTGAGTTTGTGGGAAACAGATTTTAATTCTAATCAGATTGATGAGCTAATGGCTAGTCTGAGTGGAGCCAAGACCAAAGAGGATTTCTGCTGTTTTAAAACAAATAAACTTAAAAAAATTTAAAGTGGAAGTGCGCTTTGGTGCGCAGGAAGTGCCCCTTGCTGTACAAAAAGTACATCAGGCTGCACAGGAAGTGTCCTATGGTGCACAGGAAGTGCGTCAGGCTACACAGGAAGTGCATCAGGCTACACAGGAAGTGTCCGTGGTGCACAGAAAGTGCATCAGGCTACACAGGAAGTGCATCAGGCTACACAGGAAGTGCATCAGGCTACACAGGAAGTGTCCATGGTGCACAGGAAGTGCCTCAGACTGCACAGGAAGTGTCCCAGGCTGCACAGGAAGTGCCCCAGTTTACAAAGGAAGTGTCCATGGTGCACAGGAAGTGCCTCTTGCTGTACAAGAAGTGCCTCAGGCTGCACAGGAAGTGTCATATGTCTCATGATCCACTGGATGAATTTTGCTAAAACTCTCATAAAGTAATAATTGGATGTATATCTACAACTGTTCAACGTTTGGAATCAACCTGATTCAAGATGGCTGCCACAGCCAATTAGCAAACATAAAAATGGTGATAACTCAGTCAACTGTACAGCTATTAAAATCAAACTTGGTGTGGTAGTAGCTGAGGTCATCTCCACAACATACTCTTAATGCTAACCAACTTTATGTAAGATTATTGTTTTACGGTTTGACCAAATTAGCTGTAACTTAGTCCTTTTTCAACAAAAGTTGATCACAGTTTGGTATAACAGACAGCGGGTGAGGTGCAGTTTCATGTTCTTAGAAAATAGACGACTTGTTTTGAAGTTGTGAATTTTTTGGGTTAAAAGTGAAACAAAAAACTCTGTGGTACAAAGGTTGATTTGACCAACAGAACCAAATGTCCCACACAGTGTGACACTGTATAACCCACCTCTCCTGCCTCCTCCTCCTCCTCTCTTCTCTCTGTCCCGTTCGCACTTGATGCTGGATGGTTTTTTTGTTTGTTTGGGAAGGGCAGGGATGTCCTGGACTGGCACAGACTGGTTCTAGGTGGACAGGGGAGAGGAAGAGACAAAGAGGGGCCTCACCCTGTGATAGGTTTATAGGGTGAGAGGGGGGGGGTGGAGGGGGGTGACGGATGAGGATCCTGACAGGAACACAGACTTGTAGGACTCAGTGAAGAGAAAAGAGCATGACGTGTTTTTGTGTTCATGAGTATCCCGTGGTTTCTGTTCCAGGAAAAGTCCCTGTTAAAGAGTAACAGCTTCGTGTGAATCTAACACAGATAAAACCTCCCTGATAGCCTGATGATTTATCCTCCTGCTGCCCATTGGTCAAAATCACTCACATGATCATGGAAACTAAAACCTTGATGGTCATTTTGGTCAAAAACTAAGATTTTTTGGTCATTTTGGTCAGAAACTGAAAACGTGTTGGTTATTTTGGTCAGAAACTGAAAACGTGTTAGTCATTTTGGTCAAAAACTGAAAACGTGTTGGTCATTTTGGTCAGAAACTGAAGACTTGTTGGTCATTTTGGTCAAAAACTGAAAACGTTTTGGTCATTTTGGTCAGAAACTGAAGACTTGTTGGTCATTTTGGTCAAAAACTGAAAACGTTTTGGTCATTTTGGTCA